GTCTCCCTGCACTCCAATGTCACATCCATGCTTTAGAGTAATTGCTTTTCATTTGCTCTCATATAGATACTTTTTAAAAAGTATGTTGTGCTCAAAGGTGAAATTTACTTTTTTGAGCTAATCTGCTATTTAGTTAAAAGGTGATTTCACTGGATAGTTTCTGTTCCAGGTCTAAAGGATACCTTAGGACGATAGTCTTGAGAATTCCTCCAGTCACACAGTGCAAAAAGTCTGAATTCTTCGAGACTTTGAAGTTCTATTGTACGTTTTCTTTGCCTTTTCTATCAGGCTCTATTGTGACAGTGATCAGAATGTTTAGTAGTGCCATCTAGTGGGTTTCAAATTTTAGCAACTCCATATAGGGTTTCCGAGGAGCGGCAGGTGAGTTTGAACTGTTGACTTTGTGTTTCAACCCAACCTTGGGGTCCAGTGCATTATCCTGTCACAACACACCAGAACTCCTTAGCTGCATACTACCTAGTTGCTCTTATTTCAAGGCAGAAGAGGCCAAGGTTCATAGAGGGAATTAGTTGTATATTCCATTTCTTTTCTGACTCTTGGCTTCTCATCATTTTCTTTTTAAGCTTTTATTGTGAACAGAGTGAAAATTTACAGGGCAAATTATTAGTTTTACATTCAAGAAGTTGTACTTTGTTTCATTGCAATGATTATAATCCCCTCCATGCACCACCTCTTTATATATATATACACACATATGCATACAAAACAGAAAATACAGATTCATTTAAATGTCCAAGGGAAACACTTTGCAAGCCAGTCTCCAGCCCACAGGCACACAACATTCCTTAATCCATTAGCCTAGAGTTCTCAGCTGCTCTCTCTCTCTCTCTCTCTCTCTCTCTCTCTCTCTCTCTCTCTCTGTCTGTCTCTCTCTCTCTCTCTCTCTCTCTGTCTGTCTCTCTCTCTCTCTCTCTCTCTGTGTGTGTGTGTGTGTGTGTGTGTCATCACCTCAGCCATTGTCTCTGCTGTTGCTGCTTTTCATGTTAGGATTCCATGCTCTAGTCATGCTCTTCCCACTTGCTGGTCCTAGGGTCCTCTGTTCCTGAAATGGAAGATTTACTACTCCCTCTTTTAGTTACTCTTTACTCCCTCTTCTACATTTACAGTTGAGACAATCACAATGTGTCCTCATGATAATTACACACATTTAAATCATAAAAATTTGTCCTCATCCTCCCCCATCCTCTTTCTGAAACTAAGCACACTCATCAAAGTTTGTAAGCCAGCCATTTCGTTCCTTCATTGCCCCCTATTTTTGATAGCCAGTGTCCATGTTGTCCACCCCTATCAACCCAATGTACTGGGGAGCTAAGTTTGATCCTTGATATGAAGAGTCCTTCCTTTTCAGTTGGAATTTTGAGAACTGTTTGTGTGGCACTGTAGGATCAGTACTTGACAGCTGACCATAAGGTGTGTGGTTCAATCCCACCATCTGCTCCTCGAAAACTCTATACAGAGTCACTATGAGTCAGAACGTACTCGATAGCACTTAACAACAGCAAGAAGGAAGACCAGTAAACACCATTATCACTAAAATTTTTGCACCAACCTCTAAAGCCAATAATGATGAAACTGAATAGTTCTATGAACTTTTAGGAGTCCTCATGTGGCACTGTAGGTAAGTACTAGACCACAAGGTCAGTTTAACTGCTAGTTCAGTGGTTCAAAGCTCACCAGTTGCTCCTTGGAAACCCTATACAGGGTCACTATGGGTCAGAATCAAGTCAATGGTGCTTAACAATAGCAGCAACAACCAATTTTTTCTGTCTGAAATTGATCAAACACATAGTCAAGATGTATTGATAATGATTTGACTGTGGAAATTGGAAAAATAGGAAGGATCTGTAGTTGCAAATTATTGTGGTGATTATAGAAATGATGCTGGAGATAGCATGATAGAATTTTGCAAGACCTATATATAACTTGTTCAATGCAAATATTACTTTTTAACAATGTAACTGGCAACTGTATAGCTGGACCTCACCAGATGGAATACACCTGAGTCAAATTGACTGCATCTGTTCGAAGAGATTATGGAGAGGCTAAATATCATCAGCCAAAACAAGGTCGACAGTAGAACAAATCACCAATTGCTCTTATGCAAATTCAGGCTGAAGATGACAAAAATTAAAACAACTCCACAAGAACCAAAATATGACTTTGTGTATTTTGTTGTTAAGTACCGTTCTGTCCTATAATGACCCTTATAGGGTTTCCAAGGACTGGTGACTGGTGAGCTAGAACAGCTGACCTTGTAGTTCAAACCGACTTTGCAGTCCAGTGCATTAACTCACAGCTCCACACCAGGATTCCTTTGTGTATACCCCACCTGAATTTAGAGATTATCTCAAAAACATATTTGATACACATTAGTGTATCAAATCCCCAAAACCAGAGGGGCTTTGGGGTGATGACATCAAAAACATCATCCATAAAGAAAGCAAAAGGTCATTTACAAGACAAGAAAGAAAGAAAGGACCAAAGTTGACATCACAAGAAACTCGGAAAGTTGCTCTTGAACAATGTTGTTGTTATTAAGTGCTAATGGAGTCAATTCCAACTCATAGCAAACTTGCCGACTTTGTGGTTCCTACCGATCTTGTGGTTCAAACAGACATTGCAATCGAATGCTTATCCTATAGTACCACACCAGACTTTAAACATAGAGAAGCTAGAACCACCACAAGAAATGATGAAGTAAAAGGGCTACACAGCAAATTTCAAAAGGCAGTTCAAGTGTAAGCACTGACTAGGAGTCTTGTTAGGTGCTGTTGGATAAGAATTGGACGGAAATGTCAGTTTGAAACACAGCGCCAATGGTTCAAACTCACCAGCTGCTCCTCGGTAACTATGCAGGGTCTTTATGAGTCAGAATCATTTAATAACAACAGGACAACATAGTAATTACGGGTTAGTCAATATCTGGCATATGAATTTTGAAAGTAACTTTCATATTAGCATCGTGGCAGGTTGATTATTATTATCTCTTATGTTAGGGAATTTTGCAACACTCATTAGCTGGAAACTGTACTTTCACACACCCAACTTTAAACCCTCGCTTTATTGAAACACATATAAGGTAAAACTATACTATAGACTTTTTTTGTTTTGCATTATATCTCATCCTGAGCATGCATTGTAACTCCATTATAAATCCTAATCTAGAATATATAAGTGACTATAAAAGATCCATGGGAAAAATTCCATTATCTTTTAATTCTATTTTTTCCATGAACCTTTTGGAGCCCTCTTCTAATGGCTCATTACTTCCCTCTATCTACACCTTCTGTGATCCCCCCAACTGCAGTTATTAAATTTCCATTATGTGGTTTACAATAACACTTAAAAAAAATTCTTCTTTTTCTTTTTTTGAACAGTGAATAATTTATTGATATTAATTCTATTTTTTCTTTCCTTTAATGTCTTTTAGCTTTTTTGATAACATTTTTTCAGAGTCAAAGCAGCCCTCATCTGTTCACAATTGACTAATTAGATCATCTTCATAATAATAGTATCATCTAGATCATTGAAAAAGCATTATTGTCAAGTCCAGTACATAATGTCAGCTATATTGTTGTTGTTGTTGTTGTTAAGTGCCGTCAAGTCAATTCTGACCCACAGCCACCCTGTATAGGGTTTCCAAGGAGCATCTGGTAAGCTTTAACAGCCAACCTTGCAGTTCAAACAGCTTTGCAGTTTGGCGCATTAACCCACAGCGCCACACCAAGACTCCCATATTGTTGTTAAGGGCTCTGAAAATGTTCATCATTTCTGAAAGTTCAACTGCAAAGATATTTACCAACATTCTTTTCAAGGAAAGTATCATCTGCTAAAAAATTAAATTGTATTGTAAGTTTGACTTTTGAGTTTAATATTTGATGCAGTGCTTTATCATATGCTATTCTGGAATCTTGGTGTGGTGCTGTGGGTTAATACGTCAGACTGTAAAGTCAGCGGTTCAAGCTCCTCGGAAACCCTATATAGGGTCACTAGGGGTCAGAACTGACTCGATGGCACTTAACAACTACAACAATGCTATTCATAAATGGCAAATTATATGGTAGTGATTTTGCCTAGGTGTAATTTTTTTTTTTTTTTGAAAAATTAAACACAACAATTGGTCATATTTCATGAATGAAATCTTGAGTTACAGCTGTGTTCATTAAATTGGAGATTTGCAAAGGTCTTTGGCTCTCCAAAATGTCAAAAGTTAACTGTACTTTAGTAAGCTAAAGAAAACTTCCACCTCTAAATACTTTATTTTGTTTGTTTAATGTGCTTTCATATTATCTTCTAGAAAGTCCTCTTTAATAAAGGAAGAGCTGTGATTTTACATAGGGTCATGGGCCATCATCAAAAATATTCACTCTTTAATGGCTGTCAGACAGCCCATGTCCAGGTTTTCTTTTCTATAGTGATGATATATTATAAGCACTGAACTGCTAACCTCAAATTTGGTAGTTCAAACCCACCAACTGCTCCTCAAACAGGGTTGTTATGAGTCAGAACCGTTTCAACAGCACTTTACAACAACAACAAACCTAAATACATTACTCCTCAATCCCTAAGGCTTTAAGAGACATTCTTATAGCTAGTTATCATAGTAGGATCCCTGGTGGCCCAGTGGTGTCAGTGTTAGTATGCTAACCTAAAAGTCAGAAGTTCAAACCCACCATGGCATCAACTGTAGAAAGCTACGTCATTCCGCTTTTGTATAGATTGTTAAGTGACTTCGAGTTGGTTCTGACTAATAACAACTCTCTATAGAGTTTTCGAGGAGTAGCTGGTGGGTTTGAACCGCCAACTTTGTGGTTCCTACCGACCTTCTGGTCCAGTGTATCATCCTGCAGCACCTTGGAAACCGTGTCCTTTTGCCATATGAGTTGGAACGAGCTTAAGGGCAGTGGGTTTTGAATTTATGTAGTTATTGTAGTGTTTTGCTTATTTAACTAATTAGACTGCATATCCATCTTTTCTAGAACCACCAAGACCCATTGCTCCTCCCCAGCTGCTTGGTGTTGGGCCAACATATTTGCTGATACAACTAAATGCCAACTCTATTATTGGAGATGGCCCCATTATCCTGAAAGAAGTGGAGTACCGAATGACATCAGGATCTTGGACAGAAACCCATGCAGTCAACGCTCCAACTTACAAATTGTGGCATTTGGATCCAGATACTGAATATGAGATCCGCGTTCTACTTACGAGACCAGGTGAAGGTGGAACAGGGCTTCCAGGACCTCCACTAATTACCAGAACCAAATGTGCAGGTAAGATTGAATAGCACATCAGTCTGCTTTATAAAGGAATCTAACCAAAAAAACATACAAAATTAATAGCGCTAATTACTTATTACATGATGTGATCATATAATTTTAAGTATTCCTGTGAACAAGATAAATTACCACGTTAGCTATGTCTTAAGTTTTCTAATTTCAGAGGAGTACAGTGTGATTGCTTCTCTATTTTCGTTCCAGGTTTTTTTGAATCTATAATATTTTCTTAATTGGTAGTTACTTATTCTACTATGTCGTTTGTTCAAGATCTCTATCTAGTAAATGCAGGAGAAAGAAATATTGTGATAAAAGACTTTTGTAGTTCAAGCAGATGAATACCTTTTTACCACTTGGAGGTTGTCTTCCTCAGTAATTAAGTTATATTGACTGTAGTGGCCATACCTTAGAATGATAGAAGTTACAGTAGCATAGTGCATTGGTAGGAAAGTACTTTTGCTTAGGAAATCCTGTGGGTGAGTGCTCCCCACTGGCTCAGTAACTTGACACCCCTTGAATTTTTGAACCCTGTAATTGCCTTCCTTGTGCCTGAAATAAATTGGCGAGAATAGGAGCATGTAGAGAAAACACAGCAAATAAAAAGAATTTATAAGTAAACATCCTGGTGCTTTATTGTTCCACTTATGAACTGATAGAACAAATTGTTATTTATTAAAACTACTAAAACAGTAATTATGTTAATTGAGTGTGTGTTGCTTTTTTTTTCAGTGCAGCATTCTTTTTATTACTGAAATCTGTAAGTTTGAGTTTTAGCATAAAGAAACATTTTGTATGTATCATGTAATTTGTTTAAATACCTGCAGAGTTAGTATATTGATCTATGTGTTTTGAACATTTCATGATTTAAATTCTAAGAAGTAAAACCTAAGGCTGTGGGATCCTAGAAAATATAAGGGCCTATCAAAACTTTTTGTTTAAACATCTAATTAGCCTTTATGATATTCTAAGGCAATTCAACAGTACTTATCTGAAATCAAAGGTAAACCCCCTTTATTAGCTGATATACTATATTCCACAAAGTTTTGTTTATTTATTGTTTTAATCCACCTCCATTTGTCTGGTAAGTTTAAGTGCTTTATTGTTATCACTGTTATTATTAAGATTTAGAGTCCATTAACTTTTTGATTATGTCATAAGTTTATCAAGTGATTGCAAAGCAGCTTAACCTAGAAGATGTTGTATATGTCTTCATGGATTAGCTGACATCACCTGATTGGCTTTTTAATTTTCTGCACAGTGAAAGTCACACAGTTGAGGTGTTCAATTTGTTTTCATGGTAGGAAAATTATTTGAGGAAAAAGTAGGTTGATGGACCCCTTAGCCCCAACTAGTCAGAGAAATAACTTCAAGGGGAAACAATGTGAAATCTGAGAATTAGCTTAGTCTCTCTCTCAAAAATTATATTTATACATATATATATATATAAAACTGAAGATCTTGCCTGTTTAATACTACAATTGTTTTTTTTTTTTTACCTGCATTTAGTCATCATAGATATATTATAGTATCATTGGTACGCTTATTATTACAGTTTCCTGTGCCTAGATTTCTTTCTTTTAAATTTCTCACTAGCTCTTACTGTTTATAATCATCAAAACAGACCTTTAAAAAATTAGCAATACCATTCAATTTATTGTTGATGTCATATAATGTTGTCTGACCTGGAATTATTTAAAATTAGTCCTTTGTATAAGAGCTAGTGGAGATGGCAAGTAAATGAGATTGCATTTTAAAGCAGGTTATCGTTTTATTAAGTGGATGAAAACAACCCATCAGTAAACATTGATTTATCCCTATTGAATGTTCAGAGTTTACATTCAACTGTGACAAGTAAAAATGTGACTGCAAAGTGCTTTGAGGCATTTTGTTTCGAGAATAACCTTATCTCTAGAGGGGGGATTGAATGAAAATAACTTAGGTTACACAAATGTTTTCAAATTTATCTTGACATTTCAGAATTAGATATGAGTCTTTTTTTCTGATTCTTTATTTGACAAACATTAATTTGTTGACTCTGTGGCATAAAATGGTAACAGGATTACTCACTTTTAGTTTTACTAAAACTAGTTTTTATACAGTTTCACTGTAGAAAATTTCTGTTTTAAATTATCACAGCTTATGGACCTTTATCATACAAATGCATACTAGTTCATTAGTGGGTTCATAACTAATTGAAAAGTGTGTCTACTACAAATTTTGAGGAAAAATACTGCTTATTTACTGATATCCAAGTTCATTGTGGAGTCCTGTTGCGGCACTGTAGGATAAAGCACTAGACCGCAAGGTCAGTTGGAACCTCCAGTTTGGTGTTCAATTCCACCAGGCATTCCTCGGACACCTTATACAGGGTTTCTAGGAGTCAGAATTGACTCAATGGCACTTAACAACAACAACAACAAGTTAATCGTAGTTTTAAGAGAAAGTGTTGTGTGTTCTGTCAAGTGCATTCCAAGTCATAGTGGACCTGCAGACCTACCTGAGGTGGGTGTTTTTATGGTTCTTGTTTTTTACCTCCTGATGTTGTTGTTAAGTGCTATTGAGTCAGCTCTGACCCTTAACTATCCAGTACAGATTTCATTATGGTTCAAACTAACATTGCAGTTCTACGCTTACCCACAGCGCCACACTAGAACACCTTCCCTGATCCTAGTATGAATCAAAGAAAGCACAGCAGGTAAAAACTGTTAGACATGTGCACTTAGGAAAATAGCGTCTGCACAGTTAGATGGCTCCTTGAGAAACAGAGCACAGTGTTTTCAGCTTCCCTTTTATTGGAACGACAATTAGAATGGAATACTTAATACTCAAATGTATGCTGGATTTTAAATATTTTAAACAGTTAAGGAAGTGTAAAAAAATATTTTACTTTATCCTTTTTAGAAAATATCTTGCCTAGATGCCAAAGCTATTTTTTTGTGTTCTTTCTAAAGTACATTAAAATTATTTGGTAAGTGAAATTACCATCGTTAGGGTCTCTTAAGTTAGGAGAGGTGGTAATTATAGCCTCTAGTGACTGAAACCACCTCCGCCTGCTGCCTACGTCTCCATCCTCCTAAGGGCTATGATTATCTCCCTGTTAGCTGGTGCTGCCTGACCTATGTTATTGTTTGCATAATTCTTCTTCAGCATTTTATACATTTAGAACAAGCATAAATGTGAAGTCTTAAACGGGTAGCAATTCAAAAACTCCATTGAACAATTAGAGAAAGGGTGGTTTTTTTTCCCCCCCTCTGTGTATTTCCTCTGGGTATACCATCTGGTATAGAATCTAAGAAAATACAGTTTCTCTTTCTCTTATTAAATGGAAATAAAATATGCTATCGTCAGAAATTGTCTGCTTTGCACGGTTTGGCAATCGCATGTTAAAATTGCTCTTTTAAATTGCCTTCTGCTTCTTGGTAACCCATTGTACAAGAGCTTTATGATTAACTGACATTTTAGAAGCATCTTTCTCATAGAGAAGGTCAATAGTTCAGAGTGTCCAGAACATAATATATTTACACAGTTGGGAAAACGACTCTCTGCTCTTATATTGAAGTTCAATGCTCTTGGCAATTTTTGGTGAAACATGCAGATCTTTGAAGCAATGAATAGGAGAGTGTCTTATTTTTAATGTAAACATTTACTAAAAATGCATTTTTTCCTATACAAATTCAAAATAAGAGGGGAATAAAAACAAAGCCAAAGCTATGCTCATGTATGTATCAGAAAATACAAGGTGAGGAATTAAAATTGGGCCTTTTGGCTATAACTTCAACAGCAAAATGAACCCATGTATTGATTTTTACTGTGATCCAAGATAAGTATCAATTACAAAGACTAGTTATCAATGACACTCAGCCTTGAGGTGATAACCGAATAAATAGCTCTGTAAGAATTGGTTTGGTTTAACAGTATAAGAATACTCACTATTTAACTTGAAAGGTTATATCCATGATGCTTTTATTTTGTTTTTCTAAATGTACTAATTCTTATTTCTATTTTTATGTCACTTTACAAGAATTTTATGTCAATGTTTTTATTATTGAAGACAATAACACACAAACAAAACCAAAAAACTAAGATGAGAATGACCACCAGAAAGTAATGGAGTACCTTCCTCAGTTTTCTTAAAAGAAACAAAAGGGGAAAGATACTTTTATAGATCTCTTTGTTTTTGTAAACACTGAAACTTTTGTAGAATTTTTAGATAGTATTTCAGTCATAATAACATTTATCTGCTCAGCAAAAATTTTATTACTTTTTTTCTGTTTTAACTGTATTTGGTTAAGTATTAGCATTTCAAAGTAGCATTATCAAGGTCTTAAACTTAAGTCACTAATAATGATGAGAGACCTGTAAACAAAGAGTAAAATGCAAGATGGTACAAACTGAGAGTAAGAGACTATTTCATCAAGGGATGGTTTCAGAGAAGTAGTGACCAGAAAATATTGAGTTTTAAGCTGTCTTAAAAATTGATTATTAATTCTTGACTAAATAAAGACTAGGAAGAAGATTAACCAAGGGATGAATATTGTTGGGTATTTTGGGGAGTTCTGAGAGTAGACTAATTTGAGTGGAACATTATCTGACTCTGGTTTATGGTAGATCTGATGGTCACAGACAGGCTGTGACCAGATTGGCATGATCCTATCATTTTAGTCACTTTTAAGAAACAAACTACTATTACTAGCTTCAGTTTTTAGAAAGATTGTCCCAACAGCTCTGGATAAAATGGATTCAAACTAAGGGATTTTAGGACTATGAAAACATGCTTATTTGTACCACCTAGGGACTCTCTTGGGAATCCCTAGGTGGCACAAATGTTGAAGTATTCAGCTACTAGCCAAAAGGTTGGTGATTTGAATCCACCCAGGGGCTTGGCAATCTTCTACTGAAAGGTCACTGCTTGTAAACCCTGTGGAGCAGTTCTGCTCTGTGCTCTGGGGTCACCCTGAGTCAGAATTGACTTGATGACAACTATATTAACAAATACA